CCACCTCTGACCGCCTATTGATATGCAGATATACTAAAGCCAGGCAATATATTCTGGAAATGTTTCAATTTTACCCACAATCCACCCTTCCAGAAATCTCGCCTTACAATTGACTCGATCCCCCTCTTCCAACCAATCTAGTAACATGCAATAGCAACAGCAATAAAATCTTGATAATCCTCAAGCCAGAGGATTCAGCCTATGCAGATTAAGTAAATGTACTTTACAACACAATCTCTCACTAAGCAAAAAATGCGTTTCTACACTTGTTTACTCATTCTTAACAATCATGTTAGATTGCTCACAAAACTTTTACCAAATATTGGACAAATTCAAGCCTCTGTTTAAACGTTATTTTTTTGACAACAGCAACACAATCATAATTCTCAAGCCAGAGGATTCAGCTAGGTTCCTTCACAGCACAATCTCTCCCTAAGCACAAAAATACGTTTCTACACTTATTTACTCATTCCTAACAGTCATGCTAGATTGCTCACAAAATTTTTACCAAACATTAGACAAAGTCAAGCCTCTCTTTAAACATTATTTTCTTGACAACAGCAACACAATCATAATTCTCAAGCCAGAGGGTTCAGCTAGGTTCAAAGTCCCATGCAGATTAAGTCCAAAGCTCGTGCATTCCAGCCATCACGTGGCAGCTGCAGCCAGGGGGCACATCCAGGACACAAAGACCGTAGAACCAAATAACCATGATTGTCTGGGGCCAATTTGCTGTTATTACAGGAATACACAGAAGGCCATCTTCCAGGCCTTTCCCCAAGGTGCCAGAAGAGCCAGCCATTGCCAATCCATGTGATGAAATGTCCAGGGCCACATCCATTTTACTCCTAATTGCTGCACCCATCCTTGCAACACATGTCCAATAAAGTGGGTACCTCAATTGCTCTCAGTAACCAGCGACTGATCATAGGCTGCAGAGAGAGGCTCTAGGCCCCTCTTGGTCGTTTGCTGATCTGTACAATGTGCAGGGCACTCCTTCCGGGCTCTGTGACTTCTTCAAAGGTGAAGGCAAGCCCCACCAACAGACCCACATTGTCTTTTGCCCCACGTGCAACAAACACTGATGCAGCCATTGGGCCACATCAGAGGCAGGCTTTCCTTCTAGCCAGAGCATCTGGGCCAGTGTGTCGTCTGCTTCATCATTCCCGGGGGAAGCCAAAGGCAAGTGGACAGTCACATGATATACTGTAGGTATCTGTGCCACACCACTCCATGGCCTTTGGGTACAATCTTGCACCCATCCCGCGATGGAATAGGAGGTTGTTACCTTGGTCGGAGCTGTTCCAGCGATGGGCTCTGTAGCCAGCAAGGTGTGGTACACAGCAGCCAGTTGCTTATCTATCAAGGTGACCCGGACCTCTGCTCCTTTCCATAGTTGTGGCCAGGCTCCGGCGGGCAGCAAGAGCAGCAGCAGTGGCAGAAGCAGTAGCCTTAGGCTCAGACCACAGGCCGGGGTAGACACAGCCAGCAGAGGTGGTGGCACCTCCACCACCACACAAGTGTGGGCACATGTCCCTCAGCACGAGCGCCGCTTCTCCCCATCATTTCTAGGGGCGGCCCTCCCTAAGGTCGCACCCATTATGACAGATTTCAGGTTCACAGGAATCCTGCCAACTATGCCAATTGTAAGTCCGGGGAAAGGAAATCCCGTGACAAAATACCTCTAAAAACCAAAATCAGTCAAAGGGAGAAATAAAGTTTAAAACCCGTTTATTTCTCACAAACTACCCACAATATGCAGAATGAAATTGAGGGTAGAGATTGAGAAACACTCATCTATTCTAAACGAACCTCTTCATTTTGTGGCTGAAAAAACTGAGGCCCTAAAAATCTAAAGGGTTTGTTCAGGACCCCCTCCCCGCAACACACACACTTTAATTTTTGGTGGCTGAACCAGGATTGAACCAGATTACTTGATTGCTAATTTTGCTGTGCCACAGTCTTAATGTTTTGAAACAGAATTATGAAGTAGATTATTTAAAAATATAAAGTGGTTCATCTGTTTCACACTTGCCATTTTTTAAACCTTCATTTTTCACTAATACTGTCTTAGTAATCATCCCTTAAAATAATTGACCTTTAGCTTCTTTTCCAGAGAATTAAAAAAATATTTTGTGGCCTCTCAGTTGACTGTATACATACCTGACTCCTAGAATTTAGGGCCTGATCAGAAGAATTTCAGAGCAAGACATGAAGGTGAAGTTCTATGTCTAAACCAAATTAAATTATTTTGACTTATTTCTCCAGTCACTTGACAATTAAAAGCAAAATGTGGTACCAGATGTTGATCCTGGACCATTGGGAAGATGCTGTAACATCCCTTAGTTTAATCTGTATGAGGTTTTCTTAAACTTGAATCATACAGATTACCTGGGGAGTCTTCTTAAAATGCAGATTCTGATCCAGAGTGTGGCTGAGATTCTGAGTTTCTAATAGGTTTCCAGGAGATGCTGCTGCATCTGAACCACACTTCGAGTAGCAAGGACCTCGTATTACTACCTGCCTTGTTACCATGGTATGAAAAGGCATCTCTCAAGCTTTCCATTGGCTCGATTTTATTAACATTTTCATGCTTTTCAAATTGGCTATAAAAATTAAAATGCTGTTCCTATTTTTTTTAATGGGATTACTTTTGTGGTTTAAAACAGCCATGCTCATATCTCTCTCCACATCCATGAGTAATAATGCCCCTCTTTACAGCCCTGTTCTAGGTGAGTCAGACTCAGTACTACTTCATTTAAGGAGTGCATTCCCCAAGCTTTTCCACTAAACGTAATTTTCCAAATAATTGAAACCTTTAATTTCCGAAAGAACATTACCTAAAGTATAATTTTCTTTCTTAAACTATTATGTGCACTCTTTTCCTTTATTTTAGTGGCGTAAGTGTAGTGTTTGTGGAAGCCTTTCTCATAAAGGATGTTGAAAATATTGTTAAGTCTGGGGAAAGGAAATCCTGGGACAAAATACCTCTAAAATCCAAAATCAGTCAAAGGGAGAAACAAAGTTTAAAACCTGTTTATTTCTCACAAACTGCAGTCCCAGGTCATCTTTCCTCTCTGCTCCAGCAGCAACCATGCTGGCCCTCCCCCTCACCTCTCAGGTACAGATAAGCCCTCTGTTGCCCAGGTAATCACCCACTGATATGGAAATGAACTTCTCCACCTGAGGAAAGATGCAAATGCACTAAAGCCATAATTCTTTCCACCTCTGACCGCCTATTGATATGCAGATATACTAAAGCCAGGCAATATATTCTGGAAATGTTTCAATTTTACCCACAATCCACCCTTCCAGAAATCTCGCCTTACAATTGACTCGATCCCCCTCTTCCAACCAATCTAGTAACATGCAATAGCAACAGCAATAAAATCTTGATAATCCTCAAGCCAGAGGATTCAGCCTATGCAGATTAAGTAAATGTACTTTACAACACAATCTCTCACTAAGCAAAAAATGCGTTTCTACACTTGTTTACTCATTCTTAACAATCATGTTAGATTGCTCACAAAACTTTTACCAAATATTGGACAAATTCAAGCCTCTGTTTAAACGTTATTTTTTTGACAACAGCAACACAATCATAATTCTCAAGCCAGAGGATTCAGCTAGGTTCCTTCACAGCACAATCTCTCCCTAAGCACAAAAATACGTTTCTACACTTATTTACTCATTCCTAACAGTCATGCTAGATTGCTCACAAAATTTTTACCAAACATTAGACAAAGTCAAGCCTCTCTTTAAACATTATTTTCTTGACAACAGCAACACAATCATAATTCTCAAGCCAGAGGGTTCAGCTAGGTTCAAAGTCCCATGCAGATTAAGTCCAAAGCTCGTGCATTCCAGCCATCATGTGGCAGCTGCAGCCAGGGGGCACATCCGGACACAAAGACCGTAGAACCAAATAACCATGATTGTCTGGGGCCAATTTGCTGTTATTACAGGAATACACAGAAGGCCATCTTCCAGGCCTTTCCCCAAGGTGCCAGAAGAGCCAGCCATTGCCTATCCATGTGATGAAATGTCCAGGGCCACATCCATTTTACTCCTAATTGCTGCACCCATCCTTGCAACACATGTCCAATAAAGTGGGTACCTCAATTGCTCTCAGTAACCAGCGACTGATCATAGGCTGCAGAGAGAGGCTCTAGGCCCCTCTTGGTCGTTTGCTGATCTGTACAATGTGCAGGGCACTCCTTCCGGGCTCTGTGACTTCTTCAAAGGTGAAGGCAAGCCCCACCAACAGACCCACATTGTCTTTTGCCCCACGTGCAACAAACACTGATGCAGCCATTGGGCCACATCAGAGGCAGGCTTTCCTTCTAGCCAGAGCATCTGGGCCAGTGTGTCGTCTGCTTCATCATTCCCGGGGGAAGCCAAAGGCAAGTGGACAGTCACATGATATACTGTAGGTATCTGTGCCACACCACTCCATGGCCTTTGGGTACAATCTTGCACCCATCCCGCGATGGAATAGGAGGTTGTTACCTTGGTCGGAGCTGTTCCAGCGATGGGCTCTGTAGCCAGCAAGGTGTGGTACACAGCAGCCAGTTGCTTCTCTATCAAGGTGACCCGGACCTCTGCTCCTTTCCATAGTTGTGGCCAGGCTCCGGCGGGCAGCAAGAGCAGCAGCAGTGGCAGAAGCAGTAGCCTTAGGCTCAGGCCACAGGCCGGGGTAGACACAGCCAGCAGTGGTGGTGGCACCTCCACCACCACACAAGTGTGGGCACATGTCCCTCAGCACGAGCGCCGCTTCTCCCCATCATTTCTAGGGGCGGCCCTCCCTAAGGTCGCACCCATTATGACAGATTTCAGGTTCACAGGAATCCTGCCAACTATGCCAATTGTAAGTCCGGGGAAAGGAAATCCCGTGACAAAATACCTCTAAAAACCAAAATCAGTCAAAGGGAGAAATAAAGTTTAAAACCCGTTTATTTCTCACAAACTACCCACAATATGCAGAATGAATAAAAACCACAAAGCCTTCTAAGTTCTTGTGTGTACTTTTTATTCTTTTTCTTCTATTTTGTTTGTCCAGTGGCCAGTTATTAGTATGGTTGTGTGAAAGCAGCTTGTTTCCCATTCCACTCTAATTGATTACTCTCTGATCTGAAAGCCAGGTATATATGGGATAAATCCCTGTCAGAAGGACCCTCCTATCATGGGGGCTTTCTTAGGAGGGTAGTGGTCAGGATGCTGAGTAGCAATTGAACAGGAGAGAAATCCTTTGGTTTTAATCATGTCCTGAATATTCAGTCAGATAGGAACTCATTTGTTCTTTCTTCATGTTTTCATCATGTGCTTTCTGAAACTAGTTTCTAGAGCTCTCTCATTGTATTAAGTCTGTTTGAAGGCCATATTGAAGTGTGTGCTTCTGTGTGTATAGGAGCCCTGTGATGGGAACAGGGTAATTTACTAAATCAGCACTCTAGCATCCATCCAAAATGGGGGTGAATAACCTCGTGCCAAAGACCTTGGTTCTCCCACGTTCAACCTTCCTTGCAGTGACTTTGCAAACAGTTTTAGTAGTAATGATGACAATAAAGAGGCTATTCCTTGGTTTGGTGTAGTGATGTAAGGTCCCAGGGATTTAAAGTCTGATTTCTGGTGTGTTATCTTCAGTAGATGTTTTGTAATAATAACAGTCAAAGCCCTATTTGTTGTGTGCAGGGCTGTATCACGAAGGTGCATTAGGTGGGGGGTGGCAAATGGCTGCTGCACTTTCCACAAATGAGAGTAATTCAAATAGAGAGGGGAGATTAAATCTCCTCATTAGTCCCTCTTGAGAAATAAATAAGCATGTGTGGAACCTACAGCAGGTGTTTTTGTTTTTTTCTTACTCAACAAAGCTACAAATTGTTGGAGGATTCACATCTATGAAACCACATAGTAGTTTGTATTCTTCTGACTCAAAGCAGAGGGAACCTGTTTGCATTTTAACTATGCAACATCAGAACATTTATCATTTGAATAGCCTTGTTATTGGTTTTGTGTTGGAAGTTGTGGATTATATTCTTTAAAATTATGGCAAGGCTAAATGTAGCCAAAACATTTATGTTAGGTTTTGAGATCCTGAATAGGGCCCCACCTGACCTATTTTTAGTGAATTACAACCTTTAAACACTGATTACCAGATTTGTCCCATTTGAATCTAATTTTTATATCTAGAATTTATCTTATGTTTCAGTGCAGCTAAGCCTGCTGGTATAATCTTACTCTAACAGTATTTTGTGATCTGGATTCCTGTCAAATATCATTATAGGAGCTAGAAAACATTGGGAGGTAAAGTGAACAAATGACCTCATCTCTCTTGTTTTGGACTAGATTAAACTCATATTCAGAGACTGAAAAAAAAATCCTTTCCCTTTAAGCTGTAAGGAATGTGTATAGTACAGTTGTGCTATTAATAAACTCTCTTAGGTGGTAGAATGGAGGATTTACTTGAAATATTTCAAACTAAATGCTGCCATGGTAAAGATTTTACTAGAAATATAGAGTTGTAGTAATAGCCTTTGTTAATTGTTTCTGCTTGTTTAACTGGTGAAATTAAAATGTACAACTACTGAAGAAAAATCTGTGGGCACAAACTCTTCCCTTCCTGTTTTCAAATATCTCTCATAGGTTGTTTATCTTATTTCTATATACAATCATATAGTAGACAAGAGAATGCGACTGCTGTTCCTTTAATATCAGAACCGTGCACGTTACAATAGGTGTCACTGTTTTACTTGGTCCAATCATGATTGGTGACTTCAGCTATTGGCTCCAAGCTCTGGCTGTCTGACTCCATCTGCAGGGCTGTAAAACCTGCTCTCCTCCTATCCATTCAGCACACAACTTCAGCCGGTTGAACAGACTCGCACAGCTCCAGCACATCTTGCTAACCTAATTCAGAAAACAAGTGCTCCGGTTCCCTGCCTGTCATCTTCGCTCAGAGTAGCATTTTCAGGTGATCTAGGAAACTGAGTTATTCTTATGAGTGAATAAGAGACAAACAGGAATCATGATGGGGATGTATTTAACAGACCCAGTACTGGATAAAACTTAAAGCCAGTTTCTATTCAACATAGTGAAAAGGTCACCTTGCCTGGCTGAGAAAAGAAGCAAAATATCAGCTTGTTAGTTTCTGTTAACATCTTAGCTCGTGCCTGCCTCTTTCCCTTGAGGTTTGCACCAATTTGGGATATCTGTCTGCAAAGAAAGACACACAGTACTCATGGTAGATGACCAGGAAAAGAACATGAAATGTCTCACCTTCTTCTTGATGCTTCCAGAGACAGTAAAGAACAGGTCCAAGAAAAGCTCAAAGAAAGCAAATACCAGCAGCAGCAGCAACAGCGGCAAGTTGCCCCCAGTTTGTTACGAAATAATCACCTTGAAGACTAAAAAGAAGAAGAAGATGGCTGCTGACATATTCCCTCGGAAAAAGCCAGCCACCCCGGGCAGCACCGCTGTCCATCAGTACCACCAGCAGAACCTCAGTAACAACAATCTTCTCCCGGCCCCCAACTGGCAGGGTCTTTATCCTACCATCCGGGAAAGGTAAGTGCCCGGCCAGCACACTGGCTTTAAAAGTTTTCCTGTGTTGAAGTTTCTGCTTTTGCATAGTCTGTAATGTGTTTTAAAATAAATCTGTTTCCTCTTTTCCCAGAAGCTTTATTGGTATGGAAAACTGCCTTGTATCTTCCCCAAAGCAGTACAGCTGTTTTCCTCTTAGATAAAAATGTTTTTGCAGGCTGTAACATGAAGTGACAGAGTTGTGTCTGTGGGCCGTAGTAGATAGCAACCTTCTATTTATGTCCTAATGAAAAGTTTGGATAACTTTCTTTTTTTTTAACTTACTTTTTTTGTGTGCAGTGATTCCAAACACAGTCGGTTAGTTGGAATCTCTATTTGTAGCTTTATCCTGAAGTTATTAAACTGTTACTTAGCTTGGGAATCTTTTATGGGTTTTGTATGTGTGGGAGGGGGTATTAAAAATATTGGCTGCTGTGAATTAATGAATTGCCTCTGTTTATAGAAATGCGGTGATGTTCAATAATGACTTGATGGCAGATGTACATTTTGTGGTCGGGCCACCAGGTGGGACTCAGCGGTTGCCAGGACACAAAGTAAGCAACAGCTGCATTACCAGCTTAGTCCTGAGACCTACAAAGAGAGACCCTCTCCAGAAGCCTGCAACTTGGTTGGGGTGGGCAGCTTGCCAACGGCAAGCAGTGCAAGTTTCTCCCCACCACGGAGAAAGCAGGCCCCTCCAAAGAGCTTTCGCCACGCTTAATTTTTTTCTTTGTCCCCTTCTACCCTGTTTTAGAGCCCACACAAAAATGTGCCCTCTTAACTCTCCAGTCATGGGAAGTTGTTGTGACAGGTTAGGAAAGTTGTATGTTTACTCTTCTCCAGAAATCAGTTAGCTAAGCTTTTGTTCTATTTATCTGTTTTATAAAGAAGGAACTTGTACATTAATCTCTTAAAACCTTGAGCGAGTTAGCCTCGTAGAGGCTGGTTTGTGTGAACATCTATCTTAAGCTTTCATAGCAAGAGTCTGTCCTTTGGCTTTGGCAAAAGAGTGGGGTGTTAGATGCTTCGCATCCACTAAACCTAATTGCTGAGTTATTTCTCTGAATTGATTTGCTAAAAACACTTTCAGTTTAGTGCATGAAATAAGATTTCCCTTTCTCCACAGTATGTTTTAGCTGTTGGAAGCTCTGTATTCCATGCAATGTTTTACGGAGAACTTGCTGAGGACAAAGATGAAATCCGTATACCAGATGTCGAGCCTGCTGCTTTTCTCGCAATGCTGAAGTAAGCGTCATTCATATGTTTGCAAAGAGTTTGTTTATGCTGTATTTGTACTCTGCTGGTTTCACAGTTAAATACAAGTTCTGTGTAACAGAAAAGGGAGACTCTGATGAAGAAAGAGGGTGCTGCTTACTCTGTAAATTTTTTTGGAGAAACATCTTAGTGGAAAGCATGTGAAATGGTGCAGCCTTTATATTCATGTCTTGGCATGGGATTTGGGGCCAAGTGGCATGTATAGTGATTTTATTTTTTAACGACTTACAATTAAAGAAAAATGACTTTCTGGTGTAATCTGTCTGGTATTATCTCAATAGAGCGTGTTCTCTCTGAAAGCATTGTCTGAAGAAGTCTTTAAAGACACAGATTAAATTTTTTGCTTCACAATTCTGGAAATTATATACCTTGTTTAGATACCACCACTTTAAGAGATTTCTAAATTTTCTAGGAGTTGTTTCCTATCAGCAAGTGTAAAACTTACTATCTCTTGAAATAATCTTATGTTTGCACACATACACACACATACCCTTAACATTAAATCAGATACCATTTCTCAAGGGGTAGGAAGCATTTGCATTTGGTAGTAGAGGAGAAATTTTTGAGAGATGAATAGCTTTCTGTGGTTCTATGTAAATTTATACAGAAAAACTTGAGAGATACAGAAATGTAAAGCTATAAGATATATTTATTAAAAAATTAGTTTTATATCTCAAGGGTCTTTTTCAGAATCTAATACAAGTTGACTAGGTAAACAGAACCTGCTTTTTTGACATGTGCTGGTGCTAGACATTGGGATAGTCTACCATGTGATTAAAATCCAATGATGATTCAATAACATTTATGTATAATACATATGTATGTGTTTTATACACACATACATATATATTTGTTAAAACCTAATTCTAACACACCAAGTATATCAGTTCAGGGTTCCTGCTACTGTAGAGATTTTGGTTCCCTGGAATAAATATAAGGTATGTTGAAAAACATTATTCACTGGGTCAAGTTGGACAGTAATATCCCACAAGTGGATAAATGTTGCTATATATTATCTGCTGTCAACTAAAAAATAAGTAACATGGTTAGTTCTAGAACTTAAAAGTATTCAATTCTCTATTTGTATTACAATTTTGAAATCTAATAGCTGCTGACTAGAACTTTCACAGTGAGAGATAGGAAATTAAAGGCAAGTGAGCCTATGAAGTACCAAAAGGTAAACTAATCCAGCACTTTAAACCAACCAACAAATTTGTGACCTTTGTAATCCTTTAGAGATCTATGTACAGAAACCAATTTTACCTACAAGGGTTTTCGTGTTTGTTTCTGTCTTTTGCCAGTCAAGTCAGCTTTGTATATTTGATATTATCTGTTGCAGAGGAGAATGCTAACACTCGTATTGCATTCATTTTGACTTCACTGCATTTGAATAGAGTATGTTGTCATTACAGATACATACACAAGTAGGAAAATAGAATCACAAAGAGTTATATTTCACCTAAGTCATTTGATTCATCATTGGGCAACCATCTTTCTCATAAATGTATTGCCTAGAATATATCTTGATAACAGCTTTTAAATATTGTACATGCAGTTCACATAAAGTCGTAAGAGTCAGAATGTAGTAAGGTGCCATTTGCTGCCATGCCATCATTGATCCATACCACATTGTCGCCAGGGATAGTGGAGGCCAGGTTTTCCTCACTCCTGCATTGTGAAAAGTATTCCTGGAAAGGGGGCTGTCAAGAAAAAGGGAAGACTGCTCACTTGACAGTTGCAGGTAAGAGCTACAAAGTGCTGACCATGCTCTAGAGTCCTCCGCAGTCCTGGTTCTCTGGTCAGAGCATCACTAAGCTGCAAGTGTTTTACCTATGTGGTAGATGGCTTGTCCTGTCAGAGAAGAGGATGGGCTTCCTGAGAGCAGACATGTGGGCTCCATCTGTGATCAAAGACATTTTTCTTACTGCCGTCTCCTGGTGTTTTTTTACTTTCTTAAAGATGCCATTGCTAATTTCTTGTGATGTGTGTTTCATTAAGTTGCAATGTAATAACTAAAGGGAAATTTCACAGCAAGTAAACATGTTAGCTAGAAAAATTTAAAAATTAAGCATTACCAGTATGTATTTTTCACCCGTATGTAGTTCTCACTGACTCTTAGTCAACTTGAGCAATCAGAAAGCAGCAGATGATTTCCTCTTCTACATACCATTTTGAGAGACTGCCACAGTCCCCACAAAACAACTCAGAAGTGTTCTATCTCTTGACATAGGTATATTTAACAGAAGAACAGAAATAGTGCATGTTTAAGCTTTTTACTTTGTCTTTTAATTAAATATATCTAGAGATCATATTTTCTTCAATTCTGAAGGTCAAAGGCATGTATGGGGGAGAGGAAAGAGTTTATAGAGTTTTAGTGAAAAAGCTAGAGACAGAGACTGCATTGGCTTCTATGTAAAGGTAATTGGAAGGTAGCACTGAAGCCCATATTTGATAATCCATTGAATGTGGAACTACTTAAAAAATCTCAGGATTTAATTTTTGTTTAGGAAAAATCCAAGTCATACTTGGTTAGAATCATCAAGATGCAGTCATTGCTTATTACATTGTAGCATTAGAGAGATGCTTCTTGCTGAATGTACAGAAAAATTTTAAGTGTATAAAAATTTTTTAAGTATATAGACAGCCCCAATAACATAGATTATTCCTTGATGTAATAGAATTTTGCTTTTTTTTTTCCTCAACGGAAACTATATCTGATAATGTACTTCTTCCTCAGTTACTGTGTCTTTGTCTTTTTGTTTGTTTGTTTGAGAAGACATTGAATGAAGCTTCTAAAGTAGAGGCTGGAATGCTAACACAAGGTTAAATGTCTTGATACAAATGTACCTAACGAGTTGAAATATTAATCATTTATGAGCCTATTTCAGATGTTTCTTTAATCCCTAATCATTTTTGTAACAATTGTCACATAAGATGATTTTCTTGGCACTAACTTGACAGTGGTTGCATCTTTCCTTGCTGGACATGTTCATTTTGTGAACATTCCGCTCACATGCTGTGCGCTTTTTTTCAGATATATCTACTGTGATGAGATTGACTTGGCTGCTGACACAGTGTTGGCCACTCTTTATGCTGCCAAAAAGTATATCGTCCCTCACCTCGCCAGAGCCTGTGTGAATTTCCTGGAGACCAGCCTGAGTGCCAAGAATGCCTGTGTGCTCCTCTCCCAGAGCTGCCTGTTTGAGGAGCCAGACCTGACCCAGAGATGCTGGGAGGTGATCGATGCCCAGGCCGAGTTAGCCCTCAAGTCTGAGGGATTCTGTGATATTGACTTCCAGACACTAGAAAGTATCCTCCGCAGGGAAACTCTGAATGCCAAAGAAATTGTGGTTTTTGAGGCAGCTCTCAACTGGGCTGAAGTAGAATGCCAACGGCAAGACCTAGCTCTGAGCATTGAAAATAAGCGCAAGGTCCTTGGGAAGGCGCTTTACTTGATCCGCATACCTACAATGGCCCTGGATGATTTTGCAAATGGTGCTGCTCAGTCTGGAGTTTTAACTCTCAATGAGACCAACGACATCTTCCTCTGGTACACTGCATCCAAAAAGCCCGAGCTGCAGTTTGTGAGTAAAGCCCGCAAGGGCCTTATCCCCCAGCGCTGTCACCGTTTCCAGTCGTGTGCCTATCGGAGCAACCAGTGGCGCTATCGGGGCCGTTGTGACAGCATCCAGTTTGCAGTTGATAAGAGAGTGTTCATAGCTGGTTTTGGGCTATACGGCTCCAGCTGTGGCTCTGCAGAGTACAGCGCCAAGATCGAACTCAAGCGGCAGGGCGTTGTCCTGGGGCAGAACTTGAGCAAGTACTTCTCGGATGGCTCCAGCAGCACCTTCCCTGTGTGGTTTGAGTACCCAGTGCAGATCGAGCCAGACACCTTCTACACAGCGAGCGTGATACTGGATGGCAATGAACTCAGCTACTTTGGACAGGAAGGCATGACGGAAGTTCAGTGTGGCAAAGTGACTGTCCAGTTTCAGTGTTCCTCAGACAGCACCAATGGCACTGGGGTGCAGGGAGGGCAGATCCCCGAACTCATATTCTATGCCTAAAAGTGATGCCCGAGGCAGTGTGAGCTCTGAGTGTACATCTGGTTCCTACTTGCTTGATGCTTAGCTCATCTGCAGATATGTGATCAGTGCAGATAATTTGTTATGAATGAAACTATAGGCAGTTTCTCATTTTTTTCAAGCTTTTAATTATGCACAGGCAGAAATGCAGCATTTAGCTTTTAACTATATGCTTAAAAAGAGCCAAGTTCTTATTCAGGCTTTGTGGTTTTAGAGCCACATCCATATACCTGGGGAGAACTTGTGCCCTTTTCCAGCTGCCCCAGCCACCTCGCAGTTTTGTCCCTCTCAAGAAAATTTTTGGATCACCTTGAATTCCCTTTAGGGCTTTATTTTGACAAATAGAAATAAATAGTCTAAAATAATGACAAGAGTTATTTTTAAACAGAACCCCTCTACCCCCCCAGAAAAAAAGTAACAGATAAACCTCAGTGTACAATTTTGAAAGAAACTTTGCTTTGTAATAAGTAATAATTGAGAAGGTAAACAGTCATGTTGAATTCTTATTTTATTTCCTTTTAAATATTTTATTTCTGGGCATTGCTTTTTCTTAAATCCTAAATTCCTAAGATTGTTAAATATTAAACACTGCAAAGTGTCAATGTAATACAGGAAAGTAGGAAATTGGGTGTTTGTTTAGGCCATAAATTCTACTACAAGCAGATTTATATTCTTTTAGTTTAGAAGACAAAATATTACAGTATACACACATCTCTTAGAAGGAGCTAAATTATAAAATCTTTTCAACACTTCTCTTAGAAGGAGCTAAATTATAAAATCTTTTCATTAGAAAAAAGTTGTAGGCCTACTTAAGCTAAAACAGTCTAAAAAGGAAACCTAAAGAAGTCCTACAGTACAGTTAATTGATGGCACAGTAGAACACGGTTTGAGAAACTCAAACTCTTTTCTTCCCCACTTAGCTTCTGATCTCCACCATTTGCTTGTTTTCAAAAGTTGTACTGTAGAGAATTCCTATTCCCTTTTTCCCATGAAAAGAGGACCAAACAATTCTCTAGATAAATGGAATAATAATTAGTTTTGTAGCACTACACTTTAATGTAAAAAGATGCTTTTATTCACTGATTTTCTTTTTTTAATCTGAAATATACTCTACTGATCTACTTGGACCACATACTATCTTAGTTAATTATGTCTATTCCTAGACTGCTAGAATCTGGCCTCTGGCCATCTTAAAGTGCCAATATATGCCTGTGGGGTTTTTAAACATGGTCTGGAGCAATACACTTGATGATACGTAGTATTCTCTGCATCAGCACGACATCCAGCTCTTACTTGTCCATGGATAACGTCAAAGGAGGGAAAAGCTCACCCAAGAAGTCTCCTTCCGTGATGGCTTGTGAGGTCAGTGCCCTGATCTGGTGATGTCCGACATGTTCACTTCCAGCTGAAGTATCCATGTGTTTCCGGGCAACTCTTCTGCTCAGTGTGATCCTGAGATGGCTCCCCGCCACCCAGAGTGTGGCCCTTGGCCGCCTCCTTCTCCTGCTCTGCAAGCCCTAAGGCAGGCTTGCCTGGAGCCAGGGGTTAGTCCTGGGGTGGCTATGTATGCGTGGGTGACCTGCCCGTGCAAGTGCATTTGCCAACTCAGGAATTGTCTCCTCCCTGCCTGGCCACACAAGGTGGGACAGAAGCAGTCCCCCTGCTGGCCCCAGCAAGGCCCCAGTAAGTGACTGCCCTTGACTTCCTGTGCTTCTGGGTCACTTCTTCCCCTGTAGAATGGGCTCATTGCTTTTGGCCGGCTTCCCTGATGGAGGAGAATACTGGATGATGGAAATGTTCTAATCAGCCTTGCCATTACTTAGCGTCTGTTAGCATAGATGACCAGAAGCTGTTATCGTGATTATATATAGATGAGCACTCATAGAACAACTTTTCAAAATTATCTAACAATTATTTCTTACTAGGGAGATGACAGTCATTTTGGCAAAGCATCTATGAAATGAAGGTACATTTCCAATTTTAAAAATAATTCTACAAAGGATTTTGTTTTTTTAAAAGTATGCTTAAACATTTCAGTAACTCATAGCTACTATGCACATTGGTAGACTCTCCACATGATTAAGAGGCACTCATTTTTAAGCCAGAGGAGAAGAAACTTAATTGAGCACTGATTTCATCATATCAGTTTGTTGGTGTGGGTATGATAACCTTAGAGTGAAGATTTCATTCAGTACCACTCACATCCCGTGCTCCTGTTAGCTGCCCTCCATGTGGAGGGAGCCATGGGGTGAAAGCCAGGCCATATGAGATGCTGTGCACTGGGTGTAGATGAGCCTAATTTTATGTTAGTTACTATTACTCCAAAAAAAGACACATGCACTATCTGATGGACTGGTGCCAAGAGCTGTGAGTTAAATTTGAAAATTGTATTTAGAATAAGAAATTGTATTTTTTAAATCCCATTCTACCTTCTACATTTTCAACAACATGGAAGGAAGGCTAATGTGCTTGCTTTATTTTATTTTATAATCTCCAATTTTGTAGCTTTTAAACCTAGCAACCATTGTTCTGACAAGGCAGGCAAGGTTAGTGTATAAACACAACTTTATTAAACAGAATACTCTGTAGATGCTTCTCCCAATGTCTCTGGCAGTCTTTGTCATTGTTCTTCCCAGGGATAAAGGATAACTAGGCTAGCAGTTCTAATGTAACATTCTTTAAGCATATCTTAATATAGTATTTAAGTAAATGATCTAATTTCTACATAATTATTGCACTGAACTGTCTTTTTTGTTTTCTAAGGTGTTTAAATAAGCTCAGCTAATTCAAGACACTAGCCACATGTGCATCATAGTGCTTGAATTTAGCAGCTTACAGCATTATTTATGAAGGAAAAAAATATAAATATGAAGTACCTCATGTTGAATGTTATTGTACTGTATTTTTAATGTAACAGTGCAGATCATGTTAGACACATGAATGTGTATAATCATGTTAAATGCAAATAAAAATAAAACTGGTTCATAGATTTGTTTTCCTTAGCATGTTTGTAGGTCCCTTGAAATAGTAAAAAATGGATTCTGGCATTTTTGGTGCCACTGCATTTTACAACGGTGGTTTGGCAGGAGCATTTGTTAGCTGAGTATTCAGATGTCTTTGATCCCTAAAGAAGTAAAAATTTAAGGCAAAAGCATAAAAGAACAATGAATATATTAATCAATTGCATTGTTCAAAGCCTAACTGTCTTGCTAATGGGTTTCAGCCTGGGCAAATTCGCTATGGATTCAGTGTGACCAAAGAATTTGACCACAAAACGCTCTTTGGGGTGAAAGGGTCTTACAAAACTGCCGTCCAGCCCATCTCTCCCTCCTGCTCCAACAGCAACCACACTGACTCTCCCCCTCACCTCTCAGGTACCATAAGCCCTCTGTTGCCCAAGTAATTTACCCATTGATACGGAGATGAAAGATGCAAATGCACTAAAGCGTACTTCTTTACACCTCTGAGCACCTGTTGATATGCAGATGTACCAAAGCCAGGCAAGATATTCTGGAAATACTACAATTTTACCCACACTCCACCCGTCTGGGAATCTTGCCTTACAATCTACATGCTTTCAATCTTCCGCAATGGTCCCTGTGCGAGAAAGCTGGAGCACTGTAACCAGATTCCACAACAGCAACAGAGGATAACAATAACTTAGAGATAATAACAAAAATTAAGACACAACAAGATTTTGATACAGGTAACAAAAATTATAATCATCCTCAAGCCAGAGGAAGTTCCCAAACCACAAAGACTTTAGGAGCAATAAGACACATGTTTTAATGCCACCAACATAGGTAAATCTTGTCCATCAGGTAGGATGCATGCAAGAGACTGGTTCTGTGATAGGACTGTAGCAGGAAGGGGGTCCCTTCCAGGTCTAGTATACCATACTTTTACTCCTTTCCCTGTGGAGGTTACTGAAGGGTCTATGTATAGTGCTACTGGAGGTGCATGCACTGGCCACAATGATTAAACAAAATTCCCCGGTAAGATGCTCCTACCTTCTGGCCATTCAGGATATTCTACTGTGACCTTTGGTGGCCACTCTGCTGTTATTCCAGGAACACACAGGAGGCCAGCTTCCAGGCCTTGTCCCCAAGGTGCCAGGAGAGCCAGCCATCATTGGTCCATGTGTCGAAAGGTCCAAGGCCACGTCCACTCAATGGTGTTTCTGGGGTTCAATGCATTTGGTACTGGCAGCAAGAGGTTATTCTGGTGGCCAAACCTCGGCTTCAATGATTCTTCCTTGGTTTGTCCTTGCAGTTGTATAGGGGAGGCAGACATATGTGTTAACATGTCTACGGGGCTCAGGGCTCCCTTTCAGGGTCTCTCATTCAAACACCGTAGCACCGTCCATAAACAGACTGACTATCCCCGCAGACTACTGGTATCTGACTTTAGTCCGGATTTTAACAAGCCATTGTGCCTCTTTTTCATGCCTGCTGTGGTAGGATTGTATGGCACATGAAACTTCCACTTGATTCCCTGCTGTTGTGTCCATTCTTGCAGTGTATGTCCAGTAAAATGGGTGCCCTGATCACTCTCAATCACCTGTGGTCAGTCATAGGCAGCAAAGAGACGCTCCAGGCCTCTTTTGGTCGCCTGCTGGTCTGCACAACAGGTAGGAAAAGCAACCAGAAGTTCAGTAGCTGTGTCCACACAAGTCATCACGTACCGATATCCTTCTGACACAGATAGAGGCCCAGTATAGTCTATCTGCCACCTGACAAGGGGTATAAGCCCCTTAGATATTGACCCATGTTGCTGTGGAACTCAGTGTAAGTCTCTTTTGGAGCACACAACACACTCCTGCCAGGCTCTACTAACTTCTTTGAAGGTCAAAGGCAAGCCCCACTGATGGACTACAGCCCACATTGTCTTTTGCCCTGAATGCAACAAACGCTGATGTAACCATTGGACTACATCAGAGGCAGGCTTTCCTTCTAACCAACGTATCTGGGCCAATTTATCTGCCTCATCATTTCCTGGGGATGCAGGTGGCAAATGACCTGTCACATGGTATACTGTTATTATTTTAGTCTGACCACAGGCCCATAAGTCTTGCCATAATTCTTGCCCCCAAAGGGGTCAGTGACCAACCAGCCAGTTGTCATGGTACCAGGTTGGTAGCCACAGGGTCAAGCCCCAATAGACAGCCCAGCTGTCAGTTCAGACAACTATAGGGGAGGGCTCCTTGCTGATCACAAGCCAAACAGCCCGCAACTCTGCCCATTGGCTGCTCTTCACCTCACCATCTTCCATCCATATTGTCTCAGTCTTAGGATGGAAAGCTATGGCCCTTCATTTTGGGGCCTTCCCATGGCTGGAGCCATCTGTGAACCATGCATCTTCAGGTATAGGGGCTTTTCCCTCCCAAAAGGGACTCTCTGCTGCTAATGGTTCGAAAGCAAGTTCTTCCTGCTTTTCACTAGTATATGTCACCGGCCCCAACAAGCGTTGGAGTTCTTCACTCAAGGGGCTACTAGAGAGGGCACTACAATGCTGTAGGTAAGCACCCCACTTGGCTAGTGTGGGTGTTTGTGCTGCACCACTCCTTGGCTTTTGAGTCCAGTCTCGTACCCACCCGAAGATAGATGGTATTACCTTTATTGGGGCCATTCCAGTGATGGATTCTGTAGCCAGCAAGGCGTGATACACAGCAGCCAGTTGTTTTTCTATCAAAGTGTATCGTACCTCTGCCCCTTTCCAGAGTTGTGACCAGAATCCAACAGGTTGGCAAGTTCGTTCAAGCTGCTGCCAGAGACCCCAGCCATAACCATCTTCAGTGACATGAACATCCAGCGCACAGGGCCTTAATGGGTCTATCACACTCAAGGCCTTCACGGCCTTGACTGCCCGTTTTGCTGTAGTAAAGGCAGATGCACATGTCTCATCCCAGTCTCACCTGACACCCTTTCATACCAACCAGTATAAAGGCTTCAGAATTTGTGCCAAGTGTGGTATAAACACTCTCCAGTAGCCTAGAAGACCCAGAAACTCCTGGCTATATGTGGGGTTAGGAAAGGCCTGGACTTTGTCTATAACAGCTTCTGGTATAACCTTGGTCTTACCCGACCAGACGACCCCCAAGAATTTAACAGACAAACTAGGTCCCTGAACCTTGGTGCTGTTCACAGCCCATCCTTTCTCCTGTAAATGTTGGAGCAGTCTAGGTGCTGCACCTTCCAGATCTGAAAGAGAATTGGATGTGAGCATGACATCATCAATATAATGGTACAACCTCACCGTTGGCGGTTTCTCCCATGCAGCCAAGTCCTGGGCTACAAGTCCATGACAGATGGTGGGGCTGTGGTGATATCCCTGTGGGAGGATGGTGAAAGTCCATTGCCATCCTTCCCATGTGAAGGCAAACCGTTCCTGACTTTCCTGCTCAATGTCAATGGAAAAGAAGGCATTAGCAACATCTATCACATAATGGTATGTTCCTAGTTCATGGCTGAGGGTATCCATCAAGGCTGCAATCGAGGGGACAGCAGCGCATAGGGGGTATGACTTTATTCCTTTCTCTGTAATCCACAGTCATATGCCAGGAGCCATCTGGCTGTTTTACAGGCCACACTGGGGAATTGAAAGGACTATGGGTGGGCTTTATAATACCAACCTTTTCCAGCTCCTAGAGAGTTTCTCCAATCTCTTTGTGCCCTCTAGGCAGTTTCTATTGTTTGGTATTAGTCACTTGCCGAGACACAGACAAAGCTATGGGCGGGTGCCTAGCATATGCCCTCAGAACTGCCTTCACTACATGTACTCCCAGTCTGAACTCACCTGCAGTGGTCTGCAACCATAGACCCTGCAGGATATCAATCCCCAAAATATACTCAGGAATAGGAGATATATATACAGTATACTCTTTTGGAGGTAGATGGCCTATTCCCAAAGGGATTTGGGCTTTTTTAACTCTGATGGTCTTCCCCCCATATCCATCTATAATAGTGGGGGTCCTGGGGAACTTCTCAGGGTTACCATGAATCAGTGAACATTCAGCCCCTGTGTCCATCAGAGCCAGGACATGTTGTATGTTCACTGGGGACCAATGGATAGCTATTTCAACATGTGGCCTCCACTCGCCTCCTGGTCCCTCAGGGCAGATACTTTGACCTTCCCTTCAATCAGTGTTCCCCAATCACCTTCCTGTGTGGGCTCAAGTGAGGTTGGCCTGCTCTCCAGCAGGAATTCTTGCAAACACACAGGCCAGACTCGTGCCTCTGTCTCTGACCTCTGCCTCTTTGGTCTTAGTGGCTGGAACTGCTGCTCTGGTTTCAGCTGTTGCCATAGCTCTAGTAAGATCCTATTGGACTTTTCATCTAATTTCTTTCCATCTGCTCCTGCCCATATTAAACAACCCACATCTGGGTCCTCATAACCTTCATAGGGTCCTGTAAATTCTTCTTGTGAGTAACAGGTCTTATTTCTTTCTGGATTCTCATAGCTTCTGCCTCTCCTAAGTCTGCTACTGTATGTGTCACCTCGCTTATGGGATGCCCTAAGTGAGGGGAAAGAATGGCCACTAGAGACCCAAAGAGGGATGTAGGAGCTGTTTGAAGTACAATATTTCTCATCCCAGTAGTGAAAACCTCTTCATCTGGGCCATAATTCTCTGAACTTTAGATGGCATTTCCTATGCCTAGCTCTCATAACACCTGTTGGAGCTCAGCATATGTCTGCCATCTAACAGGAGAGGATGGCAGATCACCTGGATTGGGCCACACAGCACAAAGTGCAGCCATAAGCCAATCGAGGAGGGAGTGACTCCCTGGGGTCTGATGTGCATTTTGTAATCACTGCCTCAAGGCAGGCTGCACTGTCAGGGAAGACAGCTTTCCCATCTCTGATCCTGACAGAACAATTCCATCATTCCCTCAGTCCCACAGACGCAGGAGCCAAGCTGATATTGACTCTGAGGGCTTCTGCCTAAATGCGGAGCCCAAATCCACCAGCTCAGCCTGAGCACAGAGGTGG